GGGGCTCTCCCTGGGATCAGTTCTGCTCCATTGGCACCTTGGAGTTCATTGTCCCATTCCAGCTCCAGCCCATCAGTCCCATCCTGCTTGTTTTTCTCTCTCCAGCCCACGGTGTTTGTGCTCCTGGGCTGAGGTTTGGATCATTTGTCCTTGGTGCCCAGCTGGAGCAGGAATTGTTTTGTCTCCCTGCTCTGTGCACAGAGCTCAGCATCCCCTGATATAAATCCCAGACCCACACACTAAAGCAGCACAGAACCTGAAAAATATAAAATATAAAACCTGAGGCATCACCATCAGGGCACTGACTCTGTTCCTGAGCTGCAAAGCTGCAGGTGGAGCAGATTCCCTCTGGATCCAAGGCCTGCTCCACCATGGAGTGTCCCCCAAGCTCAGCCGTGGTGCCAGGGGGCTCCAGACCTGCTCCTGCAGAGTCTCAACATCCAAACCCAGCAGGGCCAGCAAACATCCCCAACATGAACCACTTCAGAGTCATCCAGAGCTGCCCCTGAGGAGATCCTGGAAAACCAGGGGCAGGTATCAGTCTGCCTTCTCCACTCCTGCCTTCCAGCTCACCTGTGCCTGTCTGGGCTTTAATTTGCAGCAGTGGAGACAAAAGGTTGGCTCAGGTACTTCTCAGAGGTCAGTTATAAAATCCAGGTGCCCACCAGGGCAGTGAACTTCCACTTAAATCTGCTGCAAGCGGGAGAGCTGGAATTTCCATTTCAGACACCCATCAGGGGAGGCAGCTCTGCTGACTGGCCTCTTCCCAAAAACTGTCACTGAAGTGGCTTGACCTGCCAGAGCCTTTGTGAGGTTATCTCACCCGGCTGACAGTTATCTAGACGAAGAGTTCTCTCTTTTCATTTTATATAACCAACTATAAAAGTTATGGGGAACTTCAAGTGACCTTTAGAAAGTCCCAAAATTATTCATTTCCTGAGAAATTCACCATTACTCAGCAGCACACTGCCTCCCTCTCCGTGTGAGATCCCACTGCACCCACTTCAGCAGCCCTCACCAGAGGATACAGGACAGAATTTCCCAATTTAAAAGATGTGCAAGAGTTTACAAAGAGTTTGAAGAGAATGAAGACTTTGGAGAGGGCAGCAGTGAATTTTTAATGTGCTAATCCAAACCTCTTGGTGTTCAGTCACCTTTAAAATCAGGTCTAGGATACTGGAGAAGGGGGAAAAAAAAGGGTCAGTTAACCAGAAATCCCATGGAAACAGATTTATCCTGTCCTGAGACTCTTTCCCTGATGTTTTAGTGGTAACTAGGAAAACAAAGCCTTCCTCATTTGGGATTACCTCCAGTTGGACTCCTTGCCAGAGCAGGGCTGTTGTTGCAGCTCATTTATGTCATTTTTCACTTTCCTTCCAGAATCCTTCCATCACCTGCCTTGGCATGTTGAATTCCTAACCAGATTGTACTGGAAAGCACAAAAAGCAAAGAAATAAAACCTGCAGTGCCATCA